ATCAAATAATGATGATAGATGATGATAGGAAAGTGGGCGGTTCGCTTGTCTGGGCGGTTCGCTTATCAATCACGTTATTCCACTTTGTCTGAATGGAACTAAGCTAAATCTTGAGTAACTAAGTAGGCCGTAGGTGAAGCACACGAATCACTATAACAAACCCCTGCGCTTTAGTAGTGTTGCCTAGTTGTGACCTAAACAAAGAACTTCTCTGTTCAATAACTAAGAAAGGAAACAAAGGGAAATCGATATAGCGGAAGCATCATTGCGGCTAGTGGAACGCCCAAAACTGCCGGTCTAGCTAGTACGCCAGTGTATGCTAATGATTTGTTTAAAGCTTAGAGGCCAGCTAATACGCCAGCCACGTACCCACGGTAGCCCATTCCAGGTCGCATTTGATACCCCTCACCGTCCTCGACTCCACCGGAGAGGAACCCGCCATCCCACCGGGGTTCACGCTCCAATGCCTCCGCTAGCTAAAGAATTGTCCGGCGGGCGGGAGAGTTCAGTAAGGTCCAAGAAGCTACACGGGTAGGATTTAAACACCGTCGGGAAGATTCACATGGGTTGTTACGATAGCTAGACATTTATTGTCCGAGAACCATGGACGTCCGCCCGTGCTCATGCATAGGCTTTAAGGCTTGTTTGTTGGCCAGCTTTGCCATCGGCCCCGCATTGCAGCCCGGACACTGCTGCAAGATGGCTGAAGGGTTGTGCCCGGCAGATGCCGGCCTCCCACCGGACACCATAAAGAAGGGGCCTAGACTGCCAAGGCAAAGCAACCACAACGGTTTGGTGGGAAGACAGCGAGGAGGCACAAAGAAAAATCCATTTTCCGCGTCCTGCATTACAACGCTGAGTAGCTGGGCTTTCACCCTCTGAAGGCAGTGTCTTATTCTATCACGGAACACAACGATCCGGAGAACATGTCGTTGCATTGGGAGACAGGAAAGGGAATGGCTATATAATTAGACTTGACTTGCACCTCGAAACGATTCAAAACTGATCTAGGACTATCCTGCTGCACATTCACTAGTGTAGTACACTATGACGCCTCTCTTGTTTCTCTTGGTTGCCCTCGCGTCGGCGCAGTCGTCTATCACTGCAGTCTTGGACGTTGCCGTTCGGAATGGCGCGCCGCAGCAACTAGCTAGTGGCATTATCTACGGCACCCCAGATGTGCAGAACCAGATCCCAGACAGGTTTTACACCGAGACAAAGCTTAAGTACTTCCGAGCTGGCGGTGCGCAATTGTTCGGCGTAGGTCAGCGAGGCTGGCATTACAACGAATACCCGGCCCGATTTCAATCAACTTTGAGCAACTACCGTACTGCGCGCAAGTACGGGGGCGAGTTCCAGATCCTTCCCCACGACATATGGGGAACCGATACCGCGAACAGCTCGACCCATTGGCCTGGGGACAATGGCGACTGGTCTAGCTACGACCGCTTCCTGGATCGCCTGATCGCTGACATCAAGGCAAACAACATGGTGCCTGGGCTCAAAATTGACATCTGGAACGAGCCGAACTTGCCCTTGTTCTGGAACAGGGGCCTCCAGCAGTGGCTGGATCTGTGGCGGAGAACACACCAGAGGTTCCGGTGAGTCTCTGCCGGCGAGTGTGGTTGTTCTGTCTTTGATGAGCTCTAACTCTCCTTCAAGTGCCGATCCGCAGCTGAGAGGCGTTCCGCTCATTGGACCTTCGCTTACGATTGCTCCTACATTGACTGATCCCTGGTGGGACGCCTTTATGAGATGGCAGGTGACCCAGAACGTTCAAGCAGACCAGTACACCATCCATTTGCTTGGGTCGACAACGGATCGTTTTAACGACATGCAGTCGGTTGTGTCCGTCATGGAGCAGCTCTATGCTAGGACTGGAGCAGCACGCAAAAGCTATTCTGTCAACGAATATATAAACTCTGGCAACGAACGCCAGAACTCCGCCAATGCTTGGCACATTGCTCGATTGGAGCGTTACAATGCTTCTGGTCTTCGCGCAAATTGGCTATCGACCTGGGAGTTACACGATTTCTTGGCTGAGCTCGTCTGGCGACCCAACGCAAACTCCCAGTACCAACCCAACGGTGCCTGGCACATGTACAGATACTATGCTCAGAGCATGACGGGCACTCGTCTTGGCACTTCTGGCTCCCCGGATGGTGCTCTTGACATCTTTTCTACCCTTGCCTCTGATGGGACAGTTCGGATTCTTACGGGGGTACGGGCCCGGACCGGAACCTGGGAGATTGAAGTTCGCAACCTGCAAGCACTTGGCTTCCCAGCCAATGGTCAAGTTACGATCAGAACTCTAGGGTTTGATGATGTGGGTTTGCGAGGTGTCTCAAACGGTCCCAGCGACCGTGGGACCTACACCCATACCTACACGAATGGAGTCTTGAGGTTCCCTATCTACCAGACCCAAGCCGACCTTAGGACTGCTTGGGCCTTTGAGTTCAGAAGGTGAATGACTCTCGAATCAGCCCTCGTCCGTTTCGTTTGATAAGAAGCAGGACTTTCAGCGCTCTTCTACCGCGTCTGTGCTGGTTTATGCCCCGATACTGATTGTAGCGTGTGAAGGTTGGGAAAGGAAACATATTTATCAACGGAGCCTCGAGGTTCGATGCTTCTCAACATCTGTGCTTAGCTCTGCGAAATACTCATAGGAAATACGAGTCAAGGAACTTTCATAAGTACAGGCAAAAGTTCTATGGGACTACCCGTACTAAGCCGTGTCAGCCTTAGGGAATCGGCCGCATAATGCAATCTAGCCATCTCAATCGAGAGCTGTTAGTGGTTCCCTCTCATGTTCAAGGGGAGCTATGCGGCAAATAAGGTGTGTATATACTTGATGTAACGCCGCCGCCGAAGTGCAGCGACGTCACGTCTCCGCGTCAAACTCTGGCGCCTTGTTGACTATGCGACCTTGAAGCGTATTCGACTCTACAAGGTTGAGAATCAGGTTTACGCCTGCGATGACTTCAGCGGACACAAGGCCCTACAATATACAAACTCCCTTTTACCTAAGCAAAAGGGGCAAGTTTAAGTCTTGTGAATATAAAACCCCCAACTTTTCTCTTACTTAATCTACTTTACTTCTTTATAGCTATGTACGAGAATCATAGGTATAGAAGGTTAAGAAGTGGATCAGATACCTTAACGGCTCTAAGAGCTCGGGCCTACTAGACATGCTTGACCGTAATGCATTCGGATAGTGTACCCATGAATAGCTTCTAGCACCTACCAGCTACGAGCCTGATTCGTGTGCTGAAGTCACGGGGCCGGAGCGCGAGCGGGATATGGGGCGGACGTGCCGAATTGGTAGGTAGTTGGCTTGGTGACGCCTAGCGAACGTCCGCTGCTGTATGATTTCCTCGTCTCTTCGTCCTCAGATCAGTATGTGCGAGCCATCCCTTCTCGTTCCCTCTCATTTCTTCGCAAGTCCAACTCTCATGTGCCCTCTACCCCCCCGATTGGCTCGGAGGTAATACGGGACAAAGACCAGGTCCTTCTTGTCTGCCAGCGGCGTAGATGACTCGGTCGCTCCGGGTTCGAGTCCGGGGGCCCGAGTCGTCCACTTACCCATGTCGCGGATCCAGCCGACCGTCCTGAGCGCGACGAAATGCTCGTCCGTACCATCCACGGTTCGCTTCTCTTCAGTGACTTGTGACTGATCCGAGATGACCACGTCGCGGAAATGGTTCTCCTCCCACGGGTGGTCGGCGTCTTCCACGCAATAGATGATCGGTCCACGTGCCATCGCGAGCGAGTTCTGATTCGTATAAGGGTGGGGGGACAGGTGGCGAGGCTCGAACCCATGGATGGTCACCTCGAAAGAACCATGTTTCGAGGTGTACGAGGACGGGAGTGTTAGATACCCTCGCTCGGCTGTCGCGTCGTGGCATGGGGGTGACAGCTACAGAAGACGCAGGATTGCGTTAGTATAGAACATTGACGGCAGACTGCAAAGATCCAGTCCGGCCATCTGCAGGCTCAGGATGGTGTTTGGACTCACCGTGAACTCGCCCCTAGACCATGCAGGTAGGCGCAGGCGGACGACAGTATCGACGGACGATGGCGCGACCAGGCGGAACGACACGTTGCCGTCCCACGGCCAATTAGTCTCCTGCTCCAGAGTCACTTTTTCACCACCGGCATCAAACTCCACCTTGGCGGTCGTGTACAAATGGACGTTCACGTGAGCGACACGGTCTCGGTATCCATAGTCCCAGAGGTAGCCTCCGAGGCTGCCGAACAGGCGCATCAGGTTAGGAGGGCAACAGGCGCACTCGAACCAGTCGTGACGGACGCTTTTGTCCTCGTCGGAGCTGGCCAGCTGGTTCACGTAGGTGAACTCCCTACCGTCCAGGCTCATGGCCGTCATCACCGCGTTATAGAGGCACAGTTCCATAATGTCGGCGTATCGCGAGTCCAGTTCGAGGTGGAGCATCCGCTCGGCGAGCATCATAACGGCGATGGACGCGCACGTCTCCGCGTAGCAGCCGCCCTCGTTCGTACCCTGAGGGAGGAAGTAGTCGCGGCCGAATCCTTCCCAGGCGCTTATAGCACCGACGCCGCCGGTCACGTACATCTTCTTGTCGACCATGTTGTCCCAGAGGGTTTTGGCAGCCTTGAGGTATTCGTCTCGGGAACGGTACGGCTTCCCGCCTGTTTCATCGAGGACGACGAGATCAGCGACCGCGATCAGCAGGTACACGGCGCGTACCGAATGACCCTCAATCGTCTTTTGCTGGAGGATCGGAGCGTGGGCCTGGTTATACCAATGCGCATGCGCCACCGGGTACGGATCAGGGCGCATCCACGGGCTGTCGCCGCGTTGCTTCTCCTCCCAGTCATAGTAAAGCTGCCCATCCTGCCCGTTCGGGTTGCCCCTCTCCTCTATGAAGTACTGGGCCAGATCGTAGGCATCCTGTTCGCCGGTCGCGTGGTACAGGCGAAGAAGCGCGAGCTCAATCTCGGGATGCCCGGGATACGCATGCCTCTGGCTTTGGCCCGGACCAAATACGGACCGAATCAGCTTGACGTACTTGAGAATGGGTTCCATCAAGAGGTCATTCTTGTAGTACTCTCGATGGGCGAGGGCGCCCTCGATTAGATGCCCCGCGTTGTAGCTTCACCCGTCCGTTGTCAGCGGCCTATTTCCTCATGGGCGGCATAGTAAGGGGGAGAGGAAGGGCAGAGTGCGTCGACGCCTACGGGTCGTTCCACTTACAGCTCATGCTGATCCCGGATGTTGGACCAGCGGGCGTCCGGCTCCACCACGGTGAAGTAGACATTCAGATAGCCGTCCTCCTGCTGAGCGGAGCGGATCATGTCGACCAATTCGCGGACGGCAGTATCGACCTCGGCATCGTACGACTCGAAGAGCAAGTAGCACGCTCCCTCAATCCATTTGCCAATGTCGCTGTCCCAGAACAGGCTCTTCGGAACGGGCCACATGGACTTGTCGTCGTACACGGGGTGCCATTGCAGCTTGAAGCAATCATAGCGGCCGGAATCGCGCAACTGCTTGAGCTGGGCTTTGACCGTGACCTGGCTTATGGTTGTCTTCTGGCGCTTCAGCAGGGATGGCCCATTGAAGACGGTGTCTTTGTACGTAACCTGTGGGTAGGGCATTGTCGCGCAGGCAAGGCAGAGCCGAAAGGTGTGTAGTGCGCACGGGAGAGGCCTGTGAGCTTGGGAATCCGCGGATGACCAAGAATGAGATTCAGGAGCGTGGGAAATATGAATCACAGACAGAGCCACCATTCCGGGTCTTGTCCTCTCGGAACTCCAAGTTTATTGGGACGCAGGCGTCCCCGGAAACCAAGCAACATTCCGGTGTCGCAGCTCCGGGGGGACAGCACCGCCACGCGCACAAGACAAGATCGTACAGACTGGTCACTGGTCCCTCCCCGCCGGCCGACCGGGCTCTGCAGCGCGCGGGGGCTCTGAAGTGCGGCTCTGGAGACACGCGAAATGTACCAAGGGGATCCAGACTTGGTCGCAGGAGGGTTGGGAGTCAGGGGAACGCCCCAGCAGCCATCCATCGGAGCCCACCGGAGCCCACCGGAGCCCCGACTTGCGTTCCCCGCTGCGAACCAGCCGTATGTCTCCATCTAATGTGAATGCATGTAGCGAGAAGCCTACGTGCTCATGCACGTTTATCTGTTCGAGGCATTGCTGTGCTCAGTGCACCGGATGGGTGAGCACTCGAGATGAAGAAACAAGAATCAGGAATGTGAGGAGATTAAGGAAGAAGAGTAAGAAGAATAAGAAGAGATAGTTATTCCCAGGAGCAAAGAACATGGGTGCTCAAATGCGCATAAATAGAGCCTCAAGCGGCCATCTCTTTGGTAACATGGGATTTCGCACCATCCAACCAGATATCCTCTCCCAAGGCACCTCGGTGATACAACCGCAAGCTAATGGATTGTTAAACTTGGTCGATATGCGACGCCGCTTCCTTTTCCGCTGCCGGGGCCTCCTCGCCCCTGTGCCGGGCAAACTCTGCGTGCAGTCAGCTTCCAATATTCTACAGGGCTGGGGTACGAGTGACGTACGGTCCACGGCTGTTGCCCTGAACTTTCTGGCCGGAACGCGGTTGTCAAAGAGCAGGTCAATCTCGCCGAATGTGCGGTCTTTGGTCTCGGGCAGGCGGAACCAGCACCAAATATTGCAGAGGAGGTTGGTGCCGGCGTAGAACAGGGCCGTTCTGGCGCCCCAGTTCCAAGCTGATTTTACGCGTCAGTCGGGGTCAGCAGACAGGAAACGGGTTCAAGCGTAGTCATGAACTGGGGAATGGTTCCGGATGGGTTGCTTACCGGTAGCCGAGATCATGCGCGGGGTGACCGAGTTGGAGAACAAACCCGTCAGGTTGTACACAAACCTTCCAATGACAATGGTCTTGTACCTCAGCCTTCCGGACGGTGTTTCTGCCACGACGGGGTAGCACACCGGGCCAATCGTGATCATGTTGCACAAGGTCGAGATGACAAGAAGGATCCCAATCGCCAGTTGCGTCTCTCGCGTCTCGGTGAAGCCAAGACCGCCGATGACGACCAGGCAGCAGAACATGAAGCTCAGACCGGTCATGTAGATGGTGGCCCGTCCAAAGTGGGGGAACAGAAGCCAGCAAATCATTCCACCGGCAATATAGCAAGCCGACAGGGAGATGTTCAGGTTGAAGGCCTGGACCTCGTTGAAGCCGGCAGCCTGGAGGAAGACCACAGAGTAACCCAGGATGGCATTGCCGCATAGAATCTGGGCCGCCCACACTACACAGTTCTACCCGAGTGATTTGTCAGCATGGACCTGAACAACAAGGAAAGGGAGATGAGGTTTGCGCGACGGCGGCGGTGGTGGTGGTGGTGACTCACAATCTCCGTGCGACGCAGGTTGGTGCCCCGGAAACAGTCAAGGTACGTCGCTTCGCCCGACTCGGCGGTCTCGAGTTCCGTGGTGTACTGAATGTACGCAAGGGTAGCCGAGGCCTTTGCCTCCCTGTCTGGGGTATCTTGTTGAAGGCGGATCAAGCTGTCCAAGGCAACGTCATGCTTCTTGCGGCGGACGGCATTCCAGGGCGACTCTGGGGCAAAGTAGCCGACCGCCAGCAGGGGGAGGGGCCAAACCCACTGGAGCGCAAAGGGGAGGCGCCAGCCCAGATCGCCCTCGAGGTCGACGCAGAGCCGAACGACGACCGAGGACAAGAGGATACCAGCCCCCCAGCACATGCAGACATAGGCGGTGACGTAGGGCCTGAGAATGGTAGGGACGACCTCGGAGGCGTAGGAGGTGGACAGGGTCTGTCGAGAATGGCATCTGCCGTCAGCATTGCCTGCAAGGCTTACCTCCTGTCTGCGAACCGACGGGGCTTATGGAGGAGGAGGAGGCTAACCTGGAAGACACCCCACGAAATGCCGCACATGAACTCGCCAAGGGCCAAGACGGACAGGGTTGGCGCAAAAAAGACGATGAAAATCATCAGCGCCATCCAGCCCATAAAGAACATCATGGTGCGACGGCAGCCGAAGCGATCTTGAAGAAAGCCGTTCAACACAAGACCCGTCATCTGACCAACAAGTGCCGAGTTGGACAATCCGGATTGCCAAGCGGCGGTAATGTAATGGTCGCCCGTCTCGGCATCAACATCTCCAAATCGGGTTTGAAACTGCGTCTGGCCGTAGAAGGAAGTAATCTTGGGGCCTGTGTTAGCAATGGCCATGCCCGGTCTTGCGAGGCGGGAAAGATTCGACTGACAATGACCACATCGTAGCCCTCCATGATCAGACTTGTGGACAGCAGCATGGCCCAGAAGACAGCCTTCTTGTACTTCTTCAAGGCCTGCATGACAGTCAAGGCTCTGTCGGCGACATCGCTTTCTTCGGCCTGGCGGACGAGGTCGGTGATATCGGCGCCCTTGAGGTCAAGGCCTGGAAGCTCCCGCTCCGTCGGGATCACTTGCTCGGCCGTCATGGTGAGAGTGTCGGGAGATGTATCAGTGGTTGGACCCGACGAGTTTCCGGGAAACGTGAGGATATCAGTGGAACAACGTTGCAGGAAGTATTCCCCTTTAGTATGAGTGTCCCAAGTCCCCATCTGTTTGTCGCCCGCCGGACCTGACAGAACTTGAGCTGCCAGAAGCCCATTCGTTCTGCAGGGCTGGGGATTGTCTTCCCCATGTTCCCCATGTTCCCCAGGGTTGGGGTAAGCCCCGGTGGGCGGGCGCCCCGTGCTCTTGTCTCCGGTGGGCTGGGCTCGACAGGGCGGCTGGAATCTTACGCCCAGTCGCACATTGGTGCGCATATCAGTCCCCCAGGCCTTGGCCTCCTCGCTTTTCCAATCCCTTGCTGTTGGAGCAGACCTTCTCAAGCGCCTCTAGGACAGCTGTGTAGTCCTGAGTGCGCCCCCACGCCATGGAGACCGTGCCCAGGATTTTCCGACCCTCTCTCAGCACGTTGATGGGACCCTCGGCAGCGTAAATGTTGCCAACACCAGCAATGTACGCCCTCATACTTGATGGTCTGCCTGATCGGACGTACAGCTGTACCATCTCATCATCGTTTGGCCTATCGAGCCGGATAAATGTTGGATCAGGCTCGCTGTCTGGTGGAGTTGTCGCGGTTGCAGAGCAGCTGTTGGCCTCAGCGTGGAATGGGGCTTCAGGGCTCCCCTGGCGCGTGACGCTGCCACTTCGGCAGTGGTCGCCGTCGCTCACATGTGCAGGTCGCGACGTTGAGTGTGCCCTTGACGCGTAGGAACTATAAGCCCAGACGGTCAAGGTGGCCAGGAAGACCGAGATAGGCTCGTAGAAGGCTCGACAGCTGTATCGCCGAATGTGCCAGTACAGACAGCCGCAATGCAGCACCGCCAGTCTCGCCTTGTGCTGTGGCAGAAGCAATCGCCTCGTCAGTGTACGTGGTCAATACGCTTGGATGTCCGCGTCCGCTTCAGTCTCACCTCGTCTCGTTGAGCCCATTCTATCACTTCTCGTTCGGCGCTGATCACATCATCCCGCTCCGCTGCGGCCTCTCCACCCAATCGGGGGTCTTGCGCCACGGTAGCAATCGATTTGGCCAGTATCCGAAGGCTTTTGTACGGCACCAGAAGGACGACTCTGGCGAAATGAAGATGGAGCACCGATGGATGCTCGGCACCAGCGAGTTGGGCAATGGTCGCCATCGCTGCCCAATGCAGGACATCGACACAGTCCAGAGCCGCATTGCGCCAGCTGGCGAGCAGCACTCTCGTACTGATGTCCTCATCCGGGGGGCTCTCCGGATCATGGAGCAATTCTCCTTCCACCTGGTGTGCAGTTGGTACCCATGTAGCAAGAGGTCTAGCGAGGGACCTCTTTACTTGCCATATTTCCTGGTATATCCCGTGTAGCAACAGTGTCCGACTGAACTCGCCGATGCTGGTACCGAGACATTTCTGCCGGAAGATGAGCTGCACCGCCCTGGGTAATGATGGACACGCTAGAAATCAACTCAATGTTAAATTTAACGCTGAGAGACGTGAAGACTGACTCTGTTCCGTTTCGGGCGGCATTTCTAGCCAGTCTTTGTATGACCTCGTCGCCCACAGCCGATCAGAAGGCAACGGGCACGTGATGACATCGAGAGAGAGGGGAGGTTCGCGGTCATGGTACATCGACATGCAGCCTACAAGCTGCCGTCCGGTCAATTCAGCCAGTTTCGAAAGCGAAATAAGGGGGAGGATTCACGAACCCATATGGCATATGTCAGTCGTCGCTTTGTTTCCTCTGCCAATGCTCTAGTCCATGCCACCTCGTGCGCGGCAGGGCTGTCGTGCTGACGTTTGTGCTCCGCAGATGATGATGCCTTCACCATGTGTGTCAGATTCAGTGAGGACAACAGATTGCCCTGTCGGCTTTGCGCTCGAATAGAGAGCTTTTTCGAGCCCGAATACAGCATCCCAATGTGACTGAGAACCTGTGTCTGAGCCAATGCAACGCCATGGTGCTTACGATCCAAAACCTCAGCCTCAAGTAAGATGACTCTTCTAAGAAACTCGTGCAAAGGCTCGACGCAGTTGGCGAACTCCTCCGTCTCCGTGTACTGACAGCCTATGGCACTCATTCCTAGGGCAAGTGGCCAGTATCCGTTTGGGGACACCTGGCTGTGGACGATGGGCAGGATAGGGTCGAAGTTCTCGTAGTAGAGCCGGTTAAAGAGATGAAAGTGATGCAGGAGTGGGAATCGCGAGCTGTCATACTTTGGATAGATCCCGTTGTCCACCACGCAGAGCTTGGCGAAGTGGTTTTTCATAGCCTGGTACGTCGTAGCACTCATGCCGTTGCTACTCAGGTCCTCTCCCACATGCTCAATGCAAAGGTGACCGAGATCGGGAAACCCCAACGACGGTGGTCGCTCGTCTGGAATGGCAAATTTCTCATCGGAAATCGGTCCAAGGCGACTTGCCCCAGAGATGAACACATGTGGTATTCGACTCCGAGTGGTGCACGGAATTCTAGCGCCATCCAAGCTGGTCGCGTAGAGCTCTCCCTGCCTGCCGGCTGAGGATCGTGATTTACTGATTCTGTGTGAAGGCGACCTCATCGAGGATACTGTCCCTGTGGGCGACCGAGACCATGCGGAATTGGGCGCCATTTGCCCGTCAATCGCACCAGGTAGATCCTGCATCACCACTACGGGGCTCTCTTGCTGGCGACCATCAAGTCCGCGCTCGATTGTCTGCCCCTGGGTAAGAAACCGATGCGTGCTGGAGGTGGGGATAGGATTGTCAAACGAGCAACTAGTGACCATGTCCCCGGGGATGTCAGGAAACAACCCCAGTGAGCTGACGCCGAAACCAAGTATAGATGTGTAGTCGCTGTCGGCCGACTCATTGACGGGGAGCCAGTTAAGAGGCAAGTCATCAAGCTGAGTGAAGCCCATGTCCGGCACGCCCAGCTGACTTCTTACCTGATGGGGATCCCGAAAGTCCCGTTGCCCATAGAGAGGGTGTGTCACACCTGGGCCGCGAAAGCTGCTGCCCTGGATCACGACGCCATTCGCCTCGGTGACGGCGGGATCGGATGGAAATGAGCCGACCACCATGTCGTTCTCGGATCGGTCTACCATTCCAAAGACAGGCTGCGTACTGCCTGCCTCGGTGGGCAACATGGACGTATCTTGTCCAGGTATTGTATCCATGATTCCCTCCAGGCCACCTGGGTCTGTGACCCGGGCGTCGGCCACCATCGCGTCAGCCGAGGACGCATCCGAGGGCCCGATCGCTCGGGCATCTTGTCCATATCTCCTGACACAATTCCCTTCACCCAGAGGACTTTCTACGCCGCCATCCGGGCACTGTTCGGCGTTTCTCTTTGGAGACTCTGGGGGGTAAGAGCAGGGTAACGTTCTCGCAATACAGCGGTGGCACGGTTCACCGCGTGTGCAGGCGGCCTTGGCCCTGGCGCACTCGAGACAGGCTCGTCTTCTGCTTCGAAAGCTGGTCTGCTGTGTCGCGGTCATGTGCGTGGTCTCGTGGCGATGTAGGATGTCGCTGCACGCAGTGTGAGCTTGGCAAGAACCAGGAATCGATACGCCAGGGATGGGAACAATGTGCCCTACCTTCGCGCGAATGCCTTGGAGCATTTCCCACAAACGAAGTTCCTACTGGCGTCGTGGCTGCGCTGATGCCGTCTCATATGCTCGGGACGTTTGAAGAAGCGATTGCAGGACGGACACTGGTACTTCCTTGTCGTTGGAGAGCTATCGCCACCAGTCCAGGGCGCGTCTGTCGCATTTGTTGGCATGTTTGCGGGGGTCGAAGCCGATGGGCATCGACCATGTGTCTGGTGTCTTGCCGCGAATGCGATTGATTCGGATTGTTTTCCATGTTGCAGTTGCGCGAGCCGTACCGGGTGTGGCGTATGATTTGTCGGTGATCCAATGCGCGCAGGTCAGGTCAGGTCAGGTCAGGTCGGAGAGAGCTTGGCAACAGTCGTTTCTCCCTCCGAGGAACGCGCAGCAGCCAAGCGACCTGTCCAGTCCGGAGCGCTTCGCTAACCATACTACGTTTATTAGTGCCTTTGCTGACAGTAAGGACGCATTTCTGCTTGCGATTCAGAGGACAGTCAGAGACGAGGCATCCACTCAATTTTGTCGTAGGCCACCGGACCGTTCCTTATCTTCACTAGACCGTCACCACTGCATCAAAGGGTCCAACTTGCAGGGCGACATTCGACGCAAACATTCGACTTGCTCTCCATGCGCTGTCGAACAGACTGAGTGCTGAAAATGATTCCGCCAAGTCCAATCTCCGCCAGTGTTGACCGGAGGTGGAGACCACTGACCAGGATGGCACGGGGGATGCAGGCTGCTGCTGTTCAGTGCCTTGCGCGCTGCGTTCACGAGGTCATGCAAGTAGTTTGAAACAACATGGGGGGAGATGAACCCCGAGTTCGTTCAGACCAGAAGTGCGACTCTGTAGATGTCAAGTCAAACTCTGCGACGCCCACCACGCCGGCCATGGAATTTTTCGCCATGAAAATCTAGTCCACCCAGTATTGCGCTGGTGCCACATGCGCGTGTACTACGTACTACGTAAGGTTTCTACTACGGTGGTCCATTTACAATGCTGTGCGGTGCGTACGGAGCCCCGCCTTAACTACTCGTGATATTAATTAAATTGACACAACAAGTGGTTTTAAGCTTAGGTGGCCCGTCCTGACAAGGTTCCTTGTGACACTGTCGCTGCGTTTCACATTTCGGCAGCTGCATCGAATAAACAAATATCTAGACGCGCGCTAGGGGTCTCAGACTCCCGATCAGAGGAAACATAAAACATCGTCTGTTCCCTCACTTGATGCTGCTGTTCAAACAACAACGAGCCGGATCTCTTTCATTCTTTCTTCGCTACACACTCTTTGTCCGATTCCTTACCACTAGTCCTTCGCTGCAATCAAACTAAACAAGACGCAATGCCTTCGCTTCTCTCTCTCCTAGCCGTCGCAGGCGCGGCTCAGGCTTACACCAACCTCGACTCCGGAATATTCATGCGTAAAAACATCGACCCGATCGTCATGCCTGGCCAGTACGCCAGCCACATGCACAGCTTCTTTGGCGGCGACGCCGTCACCGTCAACACCACCACGACCAAGCAGCTGCAGGCAGGCTGCCACACAAACAGCAACCCCAACGATTTCTCCGTGTATTGTAAGAAGACACTCGGCATTGCATTGGAAGTCCCAGCTCTCTAACAAGTCACCTTCAGGGCACCCTACGCTCTACGCTGTCAAGGGCCAGGAACGCATCCCAATTGAACCCTCGGCTTTCAAACCGTACTACATCAACATCCACGACGCCGAGATTCCCTATCCGGAAAACTTCCAAGTCGTCGCCGGCGACGCCGAGGCCACCTCGCAAGCAGACCTTGACCCGCTCTCGGGCGTCAAGTGGTTTTGCGAGTACGGCCCGTCCTCCCAGGGGGACGAAGCGGCCTTCCCCTCGCAAGGATGCGAGCTTGGCCGTTTGCAGTCTCTCCTCCTCTTTCACGACTGCGTCAACGAGGAAACGTTGGAGACAGCATACTCCGGACGCCATAACCTGCCCAACATCAACCGGTGCCCGACCGGTATGAAGAGGGTGCCGCAGCTCCGGTTCTCCGTGCGTTTTGACACGAGTGATGCCTTGCCTGAGGGTTGGTCTGGCGTAGCGCCACTCGAGCTGGCGAGTGGACCCAGCTACAGCTGGCATGGCGACTTCATCAACGGCTGGCTGGAGGAAGCAGCGCAGAACATGCTGCTGGCCACGGAAAAGAGGGTCTGGCAATACGTCGACGGGCCGCTGAAAGAGGCCCCTTCTTGCCAGGCGAAGGACGCGGACCCCTCCAATGGCACGGACAATTACGAGGAGAGCCTCAAGTTGATTGAGACGAGCAACGCCCCCCAGGAAGAGGCCGCGGAAGAGGCCACGGAAGAGGCCGCCGACGTTCCAGCGGATGCTGTCACCAGCTCTGCGATTCCGACTTCAGCTCCCACCGTCGCTCCCACTGCAACGTTTGAGACGTATAGGAGAGCCAGCACCCTTCTGACTAGTGTAGTTTCTCAGCCTACCGCTGGTACGGACGCTGCACCTGCTGCGCCTGCTCCCAAGGAGTGCCGGCTGAGCAGGAAGAGGTCTCGTCAGTCAAGGAAGAGAAGAGCTTCTGCTTGAGTGCTCTGTTGACGTGACACTGCTCTCTGCCTGGCTGTTTATCTTGAGGTGTCGGTTCTGGTTCCGTGCCAGTCTTCTCGCCAGCATCGAGCCGTTTTTTTTTTGTGTGGATTCGGTTCTCGTTCATATCCGTTCTTTCTGGTCAAGACGCTTATACAAGGTATCGCGTCCCGGAAATAGTAATATCCAGCTCTATATATTCGTACTATCGCCTGAAAGTATATTGAGAAGTGAATAGCTGAAGGGTCTCGTGATCTGAATCCTTCACAAGGTTCTATAGAAGCTTCATATTAATCCAGCATGATAAAGTGCTAGTCCGCTGTCGATCACAGCGGCAGTAAAATTCCCGACATATGTGTGGGACTAAGAACAATCCAGAGAGAACAGCCCCTGCCTCAGATATTTGCAGCTGAACTTCCTAAGGAGGCACACGTGATCACACCGTCTGTCGGACACGTGACCGCTTTGGTGGAGGCACGGCCCGAGTTAGTGTGTATGTGTGCAAGTGTTCATAATCGAGGAAATAGTAGGTCTTTTTGGGGCCTAGAAAAGGCTATTTGAATTGATGATCAAGAGGCTGATTTTAAGGCCTTTCACTGTGTGTTCGTTGTTCTTGTTGTTGTTCGTGCTGTGTGCTGATTCCTTCATTCCAGCCATCTCCAGACCCCTCTTTGCTTAGTCACCGCGGTCCGACCCTTTTCGGTCTGACACCGTCATTTGAGCAAGTTTTCGTTCCGTCGGCTTTCTCTGAGTGGAACCTCGTCGTCAGCTGGCACACGGCCAGGGTGCTAGGTGCCTGGCACTAGTGAGTGAGCATGTTATTGCCAAAATCCCCTGTGTTCAGCTTTCCGTTGGTAACTTTGGCCAATTCACGCTCACGGTTGCTGAGTGGTAAGGTGATGACATCGACAAGGAGGCAAAGGCTGGGCAGCGTCTGCACGCCGCTGTCACGCACCCCGGACAGCCAGGCCTTTGATTCATCTGAGATTGTGCCTCTCAACGGCGCCGACCATGAGCACACCTCCGATGAGTCGCTATCTGGAGAAGAGTTTGATACTCATGAGCCTCCTTCTCGCGCCGAGCCAGCCGTCGACAGCACCGACGACGTTGCGCCCTTTTGGACAGCCAGCACGTTATCCGTCGCCTACGCAGCTATCTGGCTGGTCTATCTCGTGGAGAGCATGTTGATGGGCACAATGGCCAGCCTGTCTCCATTTATCACGTCTGACTTCTCCTCTCACTCATTGACACCGACGGTCGGCATCTTGAGCAGCATCATCGGGGGTGTCGCCAACCTGACTTTGGCCAAAGTCCTCGATATCTTCGGTCGACCAATGGGGTTTTTCTGTTGCATTATTCTTGCTATCACGGGACTTCTCCTGATGACAGTCTGCAACAGCATTGGGGTCTATGCCGTTGCGCAAGTCTTCCAGAGCATTGGCAACAATGGAATCCTCTACAGCCTGGCCGTCTTCGTGGCGGATACTTCGTCCTTGCAAAACCGAGGCCTCATCCAGGCTGTTGTGAGCTCTCCCAATCTCGTCGCATGCTTGGCAGCCGGACCACTTGCATCTTGGTTCTTGGGTGGTCCCGGATGGCGCTGGGCTTTTGGCATGTTCGCAATTCTGGTTCTGGTCGTTACCTTGCCGCTGCTTTGTCTTCTTTTCGTCAAGACGAGACAGGCCGAGAGGTCAGGGCTTGCGTGCAAGACCGACCGGGACTCGGATAAGACTCTCCTCGGTGTTCTTACTTACTATTGCCACCAGTTCGACGTGGTTGGCCTCAGCCTCCTCTCCTCTGGCGTGGCACTGATCCTGTTGCCTTTCAACTTGTATGCGCAAGCAGACTGGGATCATTCAGTCCTCGCCAGCATGCTAGCTATAGGAATTGCTTTGATTATCGGGCTTGTTTTCTGGGAGCGGAACTATGCGACCATGGCTTTCATGCCGTACACGGTTCTTCTGGATCGTACGGTCATTGGGGCTTGCATTTTGTCCGCGACCTTGTTCTTCAGCTTTTGGTGCTGGAATAGCTTCTTCAGC